ACAGAGCGTCTCCCCAGCTCCACACGAAGTGCCTCCTCCGCCACCGCCGCCTCCCTTATTACACTTCTTGTCGCCCGCACACGTCTCCCCAGTCGGGCAGTAGTACGTCTGACAACACGTTTGTCCAGAGGGCATACATCCACTCCCACACTGCGTCTGCCCGTTCCCACAGGAACTTCCTCCCCCGCCTCCGCTGCCGCCGGTACAGTGTCCATCAGAAGTACACGTCTCTCCGGCATCACAGTACCCTCCGTTGGAACAACATACCGTGCCAGAGGGAATGCAAAGCCCATTGCAAAGCACCTTCCCCGAACTACATCCCTGGGGCGGACCAGAGCACGTCTTGCCGACTTGGCAGCACCCACCCGAGGTGCAGTATTTGCCTACCTCGCAGTACCCGCCCGAACCCGTGCCACAGCATGTTCCGGTGATGGGGATGCAGCCGTTGTCGCAGGATTTCTTGCCGATGTCACACGAGGCTACGGCCGCGGCGCCGATGTTGAGGATCGGAATTGTGGAGCCGGTGCCGGGGAAGAGGTAGGCTGGGGTCGAGAGGGATGTTGAGCCGTCGTAGTTTTGGGGCTCATCAGCGTGGGTGAGGATTGGGAGGAGGAGGGCCGAGAGGGTTGAGAGAAGGGGTTTGGAGAGCATGGTTGGGTGCTTGTGATGTGTGCTCTTTGAGGATTTGGTCTTGAAAGGGGACAATGTGTCTGGGTAGGTTCGCCTGAAGCTCAAAGGCTTTGAGGGGGGCGGGGAACACGAGATCGTTGGACAGCTTTAGAGACTTGTGTTGTGGTATATGTAGTTCTTGGCCAGACCCAAGTCCAGGAAGAAAGACAGGTCTTGTGAGGCAGGTGTCTTGGGCCTTGACATTTCCGCGGCTTTCTCTGGAGTCCTGCTCAAGGGTAGCCACTCACACAAAGCCGTTGATCAGGCTGAGGGCATATCCGTACCATATTGGTAGAAATTTAGAGCTGAATACAAGCTTCCAACCCCGGACCTTGCTCATCGCTCGTTAGCTCCCTTGTCGAGGCTTACCCGACGTCAATCTCTATTTCTTGGGTGCTTGTTTGCGGTCAAGTCACACGGACCGACGGACGGCAGGTGGGATGAACAATACGACGGGCGTTCACCTTGTTGCCAAGTCCCTTGATCCCTTGATTGACAAGGCAATTGTTTCTTGGCAAGGCGGGTTTGTTGTACTCTGTACAAGAACTGGAGTCTGTACCGACCCTTCGGATGGGGACGGAAAGGGGTTTGAGTGTATGAATACTGGTGGGCGGAAGGGTGTGGATTGATGAGAGAGTGTGGGTGAGCCTTGTGGGGATGAGCTAGACATGCAGGGTTTAATGGTAACCAGGCATCTGCACTTTAAGGGTGCTTCCTTTCCACATGGTTTGATTAGAGGATCATGAGTGGCGTCTCGTGTTCAGATGGGTAGCTCTAGACGTTGAAGAACAGAAAGGGTGAGTAGAAATGGCCCCGAGAGGAGGGCTCCATCGCGGAGCACCAGAGGACAGGATACAGTCGGGCAGTTACGGAGTGAACCCGAGTCTATCACTGGCCTTGAAGATCGCTGGTATCATCTACAGCCTCAGATCATCAATCCTGCCTGAATTCAGTCAAATCTATTAGTCCGACTGACATCACCTGCCACCGCAAGGCATGACTCCGAGTCCGAGTCCGCCTCCGCCTGTCGACCCCGTCCCCGCATTCCTGTCAGCCTGGGCTAGCGAGCTCAGCTCGTTTAACCTTGTTTATCTAGCTCCCCTAACTTATTAGCTCCTGCGAGTAAGCGAAGTGAAGCTGTCAAGCTAATGCCGATTCAAGGCGCAGATCGCCAACACGTATCAAATGATTACTCTGACTCGGGCGCGAGATGACCCGCTCAGAGCTACATGATTGGCAAAAGACAGATTAACAATGTTTTCAACCGTGCAATCGTACATGCACAGTACTACATAGTACACACACTCCAAGCGACGTAAGTTTGGCCAACAAAATAAGGTCCTGTCAGACTTTTCACGCCCTAACGGCGACTGGCGCGGTACGGCTGAGTCGAGTTTGACGACTGTGACGAATGGAGTTGAGGGGATCCCCAAGAGAGGCGTTCGCTAGTCCCAGAGTCGCAGTTGGACCCTTGTGTAAGTTATGTTGTGGCTTGAGGTTGCTTTTGAGTTGGCGGCTTGGCATTCCTAGACTCCAAGCATCGCTTGCGGGTTTCTTGCGAAATTGGCAGGTTGGGGTCAAGCAGGCTGTCAGAATGGAACGCCAGAATTGTTGCCTGGCAAGCCACTAGATAGTAATTTTCTGGTGTACAAGGACTACCATTCGATCTTTCATGACTCCTGGAGATCATCAATTGACTCTGAAATCCCACTCAATGACTATTCAGAGTGAACTTATTTCCATGTGTTGGCATTGTGATGGTGTGGTCGAACAACTAGTGAGCCCGCTATGTGTGGTAGGTAACTAGGTTTCTCGGTTGAACGGGATTCCTGCCGTCTTACGGACCTGAATCGTGAGCACATTTCAGTACCTAGGTGATGTTTTGTTTCGGGTGCTGGCTTTTGGCAAGGCGTCCCCTTATCAATGACATTGATGCACCCCAGCCGTCAACATTGTGGCATAGGCGGTTTGAGTTGGGTGCGCAGAAGCCATGGACAGCGATGTTGTAAGTCGAGGGAATGAGGGGCTGACATAAGTGGCGTTTTTAATCTGATGGGGTCGTAAAAAGACACAAAAGGCCAGAATTGGAGTCTCCGCTTTTCCGGGAACCCGAACGCACAGAATTTGATGCTCAGAAGCGCAAAGTCTGGCAAAACTTCGCAAATCAGAACTGACAACATCAATCACCCGAAATCGTTGCCCCAAACAAAACGTGTCGACGTTGGCCTGATTCGAACAGACGCTCCCGAAGGAACAAGATTTCTAGTCTTGCGCATTAGACCACTCTGCCACAACGCCGGAGTGTAGCTCAACCCGCTTTGAGGCGGGGATGGTGGAAACTGGCTTGCTGTTCTTCATGATCCCAGGCGGGCCGTGACGAAGGTACATGTCTAAGCAGTTACCCGCGTGAGGTGTGGATGTTGGATGAGATGTCACTTGCTCATGAAGTTGCGAGGTGCTGAGAAGAAAGGCGCCCAGGGCAGGTGTTTCTTAACGTATTGTTGCGTTACATCCCATTGCACTTGAGCGTTTTGCTTGAAATCTTCTAAAGTCTTCCTCAAAATATGTCTCTGCCAACCTCAGGCCGTCCACAGCTTCGGGATCGAAGTCCGTGATCTCATGTTAGAAGCAAACCCGTGCTTGCTCCCTAGACGCGAAAGGCAACCACTGTCCCCCTCGCCAAGTAGAGCATCTCGAACCGTTGGCGAATGCGAACTTGCCGACGGTCCGGCGCCAAGGTTATCAAGAGCCTCGGAAACTCTGCACTCGCTGGCGGTACCAAAAAAAAAAGTGCTAAATGACACGAGGTCTGAGACTGCCCCTGACCCTGAGCCGATCAGACGAACGGGGTCACCCGGATTTTTGGAGAGGGGAAGTCCAGCCGGCGGGGCTGCATGGAGCATTTGGGGTCTGAAATTTTTTGAACGCTGAACCCATGTTGATTCCGGTTGCTGGCTGTCGTCCGTTCTTATTCTAAATGCATCCTGGCATGAGCTTCGGAAAGTTGATGTAATCAGGAATAGCGCTCTAGTCTTTGTGAGCTGTGAGCAACTCCGCTTGTTCTTGCTATTTTTAACCTTATTCTTACGTTTACTCGATACTAGGCGAGTACCTCGGTCTTCCATTGACTGGAGCCGTCTAATTAATATACCTAGTGCAGATCTAAGATCACGTTCAGACATCGAAGAACTCCTGTTTACCAAAGCCTGGCATGGCGTGAAGGGCTAAGGCTTGCTGTCGCTACATCTTGCCAACAATATTTGCATGCGATAGTGGTTGATATCTTGCCAAGACCAACGCCGATTAGACTTCTCGGTGGTCTTACTTTCGTCACATCAGACCGTACCGCCGGGTTCGCGAGGAAGACAAGTTGACCTGATGCCAAATACTTGGCATGGAATGATGTCCCTCTCGGACAGCTGGGCGGAAAGCTATCCAACAGGCGATCTTGGCGGGGTAATAATCCATATCGCCTGGTAAAGAATTGTATCCCAAGTCAACCATATAACCCGATACGACGGTAAAACTCCTTAGATTGCGTACGTGAGCCCAGCAAGTCATCGCACGGCTCATCGCCTCTCACTTGTTGCGCTGCCAAGTTTGTCTCCGCCGTCATAGCCGTGCCCACTTGCAGGATCACTCCCAAAGCCAATATGGCTCTCTACCGACTTGCGAAGTTCTCTCTCGAAACAGATTCAGCTGCGAACTACGGGCAGCTCCAGGCAAGAAGTAACGAGGAGATCGGATTTCTCTTGTCGTGAGACTATTCCCGCCTTGCGTCCATGAAACGGTCAAAATATGGGTCTCCATATCGGTCTCATTGGCTGCACATCACGGATGATGCGCGACCAGGCCTTACCCCAGACAACCCGAAACGGCTTGCCTGTCAGACATCTTGACTTGGAGTGTGTCGCTAAATCCTGCCAACCAACCTCGTCGTATTAATAGAACAGCCCGGGTCTGATTGCTAAAACCAGCCTCTTGAGAGGTCAACCACGATGCGTCCGATGGTTGTCCATTATGTGATGGAAGTTTGGACAGGTGCTAATCTTGGCTCAAACATGGCCTCACCGACTCCTCCCAAATGCCTCAATGAGACGGAGCTGTCACAACACAGTGGCGTCTTGGCTGAGGTTTAGATGGTGGACTACGGACAAGTTAGATATATAAAGCAGTGTGAAAGGTCTCTCAAAGTCAGTTTCGAGTAGAAAGTCTTCAGCCTCCAACGCGTCTTCCCTTTCGAGTTTATCTATCAAATTCGGTCGTGCGCTGGTTCGCCGGCATCTCATAATCATTCAATTCGAGACAAAGCCTATTTCCACGATACCATCATGACGTTCGAATGTCTCCTCCCACTGAGGCTGTTTAGCCCTGCCTTCTTCTACTCGATCCTTCTCTTCTGTTCCATCGCCATCCTTACTAAGGCTGAAGATCCCACCTCTTCACCAGCTCAGCAAAGCGCACCCTTCGTAGACCAGGCCACAGGCCTGGGTATGGAGCGCTTCTTCGGAGCTCGTACCTCGTTTGCCTTCGCGATGGCTCTGCCAGAAACAACTTCATCATCTTTCATCGGCCAATTGTCATTCCCGCTAGTCAACGGTGCTGGATGGGGCGCCATGGGCTTGACCGGCGACATGGAAGGAAACTTCTTCCTGGCAGCATGGCCGGATGGCAATGGTGGTGTCATGGCTACATTCCGCCAAGGAACCAACGAGGACAACCCACCCGAAGTCAAGGGCAACTTCGCCGTCCGGCCTATTGCAGAGGGCGTCTCCGTTAACGCAACGTCTCTGACTTATACCTTTCTCTGCGAGAACTGTCTAGATGCGACTTTGGGACTCGGTCCGGAGGCCACGAGTGCCAACGCCGTAATGGGATGGGCTCTGTCGGAGAAGGCCGTGAGAAACCCCGGAAACCCTGGGGCAACTTTGGGGTTCCACGAGAGAGGATTCGGTCCATTTACTGCGCGGCTAGGCAACGCAAAGTCTGCACAGTTTGATGCTGTAGCTGCCACAGCAGGGCCACCCGTTTCTGGGTCAAGTCGAGCGGTTGCGGTGACCCCCAATGCGTTCCGCGAGGGGGAGGGTGGAGATGACGATAAGAAGAAAGGGGGTGGGAAGGGTGGTGATGATGACGATGATGATGATGATTAGCCAATTGGTTAATTTACTAAATCTAAATAAAATCAACTGTTAAAGATTGCTCATTGAAGAGCTCTGCTCAACTCAATTCACCTTTACAATACACCAGTACTGCCTACATGTAGCTCCTGCAAAAGTTTTGAGTTTCCGACCACTTCTGGACCCCTCTGATTTGGTGCAAGCCTGAACTAGATCAACCGCATTCTGCTTCTGTGACAGCACGTATTTCCAGTGGGAAAGATTATACGTCTGAATAGCGTAGGAATTGGCAATCGTACTAAAACTAATATCGATAGTCAGGGTAGCAACAATGAGTGCTGTCCAAAACGTGAGGAGCTTTGACGGATTCCGCCTCTCCTGATCAACCGAGGTTTCAGAGCACCTCCCATACATCTCAATCATGGATCTTACCCCGCAAGAAGAATATAAATCTTGGGCGGGATCCGTGTTCGACTCCCTTGCAAGGTAGATCACTGAGTTTATTGATATCGCAGATCTCAAAAACTGTCTTGAGTTCTGAACCCCTCTTGCGAGTGCGACCGTTCCAATCAGGGGCAGATCTACAGCAAAGTATCAGAAGAAACCTCCTTCCAGTCATCCACCAGTTTAATTGTGTCAGCACACTTCTTGGTCAACTGAGAAACTGCGTCCGGTCCAAGGGCAAGGCTGACAGGTAAGGGTCGCCCCTGAGCACTTCCTCTGGATCCGACCGTGTCAATGATGCGAGAAACCGCCTTGGCGGGATCTCCAGGTTGCTGTTGATGAGCTCCCTTAAATTGGGCATAGAGCGGATCAACAATAGGCTTGTAGTCCGGGTTCTTCGTCTCAACATAGACAGTGTTGTTGGCGTTGAGCAGTTCGGTGCGGAAGAAACCTGGCTCTACAAGAAGTGTCTTGAGCCCCAATGGTGCAACCTCAAGATTAAGGGCCTCAACAGCACCTGATTTCAGGGGACGTTAGTCAAGAAAGTTCCTCATCCCGCCATTCAAACTTTTCTTTGGAGAGCCGGGGGGAATACCTCTCAAGGCGCTTTTAGAAGCGCAATACGCCCCTAGGGTAGGAATACCTCCCCACGCGGCGGTCGATCCTATGAAGACAAATGTCCCAGATTTGCGTGCTCGAAAATGAGGTAAGAAGGCTCGAGTGGTACCAAGTGGTCCAAAAAGGTGCGTCTGAAAGACTTTGTTCCAATCTTCCTGGCTAATATTTCATGGATCAGGTACACGTACCTTCAATAAGGATCAAGAAGCGATGAGTCAAGTGAGCGCAACTAACCTGTCGTCCTCTATGGTTCCAAAGTGGGAGTAGCCTGCATTGTTGACTAGCACATCAACACTGCCGTAGATGCTGAGGCTGTCCTGGGCCACCTTGTCGAACTCGGCCTGGTCGGCAAGGAGGTCCAATTTCAGTACAGCCGCGCCGGCTTCACGAAAGTGGGCTATCTTCGAGGTGTCGCGAGCTGTAGCAATGACTTTATCTCCTTTAGCAAGGAGTGCCTTGACAAACTCGGCGCCAAAGCCTGAGGTGCTTCCCGTAATGAGCCAAACAAGAGGAGCCATGATGAATCGGTTATTGTGAATGAATATTGTGCTTTTGGGTCTGAGTATGATTTTGAAGACGGAGTTCAACGAAGTGAATGGCAGTTGCAGAAGATTATAAGATAATCTGAATCCAAGAAATTTGAAATCAAGGGGCGTGCGGCTTTTGTCCCAGCAAGGCAAACTTCGTTCAGTCAGTGGACTTTAGACGATTTTACGGACATATCGGAAGTAAGGTGAATCATAGATATAAAGGCATAACCTTACAGCGACATGATTCCAGTAAAATGCCGATGTAAGGCCTTATGTCGTCATGTCATGTGGAGTCCGAAGTCCTGACAAATCTCTCGACCGGACGCCATGCCCCCTTTCTAAAGTTATAGGCCTGGCGAAAGTCAATTGTCTAATCCATGGTCAAAGCCAAGAGGTGGACTGGATGCTTGGCAACATACTCATCCAGGGTGACGATAAGACAGGCGACGGATGTTGTCATTTTGGCGGCAACAGAGTAATATCTGAGCCACCTGGACTGCGTGGGTATCGGGCTTGGCCAATCTGTGAGAAAAAGTACTTAAGACTGACAACCAGCTGACCCTCAATGTTAATTTTGAACACTCAAGAAATAACAGTTCTCAGAGATCCTATTCATTACTCAAATCATCTACTGCACGTACGCAACCTCAATCATGTCTCTGATCAGCATCGCCAAAGGCAGCTTCCACTTAGCTGGCCTGCTCCACCGCCCGGAAAACGCTTCATCTTTGGCTCCAGGCCTCGTCGTTGTTCACCCTGGCGGCGGAGTCAAAGAGCAGACTGCCAACCTTTATGCTCAGCGCATGTCTCAACAGGGATTCGTCTCCGTTGCCTTTGACGCACTCTACCAAGGACAATCCGAGGGAAGCCCGCACTACCTAGAAGACCCAGGCTCTAGGGTCTCGGATGTATCCTCTGTTGTGGACTACCTACAGACCCTAGACTACGTTGATCCTGACGCGATCACAGTTCTCGGGATCTGCGCTGGCGGCGGGTACGGAATCGCCGCGGCAGCCACTGACCACCGAATCAAGGCGGTAGCCGCAATCAGCCTGGTCAACATTGGCGACACGAATCGCCAGGGCTGGCTGAACACCCTGAACACTTCGGATGCTTACGCTACAGTCGAGTCCGCGGCGGAAGTCATTCAAGACATCGCCGGGGGTGGCAACATTACCTACCTCCAATACGTTCCCGACCCTCCCCAAGCCGACACACCCCCAGACCTGGTCGACGCTTGGGACTATTACCGCACACCTCGCGGCTTTTACAACACGTCCGAGAACCGTATGCACCCCGCTTCTGTCCCTCTTATTTATCGTTTCGACTCTTGGCACCTCGCAGACCAGTTTCTTTCTCAACCAACGATCTTGATTGCCGGGGAGGACGCCGATAGCCGTTGGGGCACTGATGACATCTACGAGAAGATCAAGGATTCCAATCCTAACGCAGTGAAGATTTTGGTACCTGGTGGACGCCACATGGATTTCTATGACCGGGAGCTGTACGTTGCTCCCTCGGTTGCTAATGTGGCGGACTTTTTCAAAACACACCTCAATCTTTGAGGAAGGGGCAAACATGGTTCAAGAGACACGGCAAGATTTGACCAATCGAGAAGTTTCGCAATGTGGCAAGATAGGGGTACATTTACTTCAATAGTCGTATCTCCTCGACCTTCAGGCTTCAGCCTGGAGACTTCTGAATCACAAAGGCTCTTCAATCCAATTTTCGAACTGAATCGTAAAAGTAAACAAGACCGCACGTGACCCTTTTAGACGCACCAATGATCAGAAACGGGAAGGACTCCCATCTTATGGGGCATATGATGAATTTCCACAACGATTGTAGCGCACTAATAGCCTAGACCACAATCAAACCCGTCTTAGTGAGATGGCTGTCTCACTATTCTTCCTGGTAATATATCGCCTGAAAACTTCCGTTCCCCCGCTATCATGAAGACTTTCTATCCACATTACTTGACGCAGACTGGCTTTCGCCTCAAGCCACAAGGTACCAAGACTGGTCTGTATTAAAGGGTAGAGAATTTCTGACAACCACTCTTGATCTCGATTTCGGAATAATGAGATGGCGCCTACCATCAAGGCCCAGGCGAACACGAAGGTTTCTTCGGCTGTGGTGGGTGAAAAGGCCAGACAAGCCTCTTGGAACTGAACGGCCAGAAGAGGATATTCAGTTTTCAGGCCGGGAAAGCTCCAGAAAACAGTAGTCAAGTAGGCATGAAGTGAAAGTCTGAGAACTTCCACCAAAGAATCTCTAGCATCGTCATAAAAGTCAAGGACGAGAAGATGTGACTGAATAGATGTTAAGAACTTCTCCAAAGTCATGTCCGCCAGTTTTTCCCCTGTCTTGTGACTTGTGTTGATCATCTGTGAAAGAATCTGGACATTCTTCACGCAGATGTACAGCTGTCGGTCAAGGCCATAAATCAGGTCGCGCGAGCGGGAAAAGCAACTCTGATCGATTGACCAGTGCTCGAAATGACGGACCTGACTGGATAAATCACAAGCAGAAGACGAAATGCCTTGGCAGTATACTGGCTTACAGCCGGTACACATGCTGTAAATCAAATCCGCTCTTCATTCGGGATTGTTAGTACCTATACTTCGCTGCCGTGTCAAGGAGAAGGAAGGCAAGATGGAGCGCTGGATGCTTACCGGCGGATCTTTTCCTGGAGAAGAGGCTTTCCTTCGTACGACTTCAGGCCCCCACGAAGATCGATGATTTTTTTCAGCCCCATCATATGCATGTGGGCGCTCTCCATATCTCCAAAGCACTCCGTGATAAAGAGCATGAACATGACCACCGTCGTTGTGGAGTCAGTCAAGGCAGTCTGTGGATCGCTGAGCTGTTTATTGAGTTCGCTGACAGTTCGATATGAGTGATATTTTGTTCTTTCGCTCTTCCGCCCTGTCAGATCATCGAAGAAGAACGAGGTGGTGTACAGGATGGCGTGGAGATAGGCTAGATCGAGCTGGGTCCAATGGAACCAATAAATGTCGGTGGGATCGGAAGCAGAGTACTTGGCGATTGGGTACATGTTGGTCTTCAAATAGGTGAAATCTGAGGATTCCGTTAGTGCACATAGCGCCGAGAAGAGTTGCATCAGACTCACAAGTACAAAGGAGGTTACGAGCACTAACGTCGATTTCTTCGGGGAAACTAACGAAAGCAAAGATGCTAGCTGGGGGAGGAGATGGGAGAGGTCGTCGTATGCCGGTAACGTCGCCATCGTTGTGCAGCTCGTATCCGGCTTCATCTTCCTGGAGGCCGCCATCACGGCCATTCGTTGTGGATGGAAGCCCCATGATGACTGGGGATATCTGCCGCATTTGCAATCTTGGTTCCGTCCGCTTCCGAGTATTCTTGCCCCTCATGACATGGCTTCTTATGAGCTTTCGGTCTCTGCCTGTCGGCAAATCGCTTGCCGTGGTGACGACAAAAGCGAGTCCCTTTGCTACTTGTTCCCATGTCAGCCACCCAACTCGCATGTTCATGACGCATGTAATCATTCAATGCTCGCGTGCAAGGATTTACCGGTTTGTGTAGTTTTTCCCGTACTAGCCATGACTCTCTGAGTATAGGGACGGCACGGACTTTTGGTCGATGTCTTCATTGGGAAAACAATTGGAAATCAGAAGGTGTTGACGGGAAGTCCAACCTAAATCCGTCAGAACTATGTGGACATTAAGAGCTTCCGCTCGAAGCACTGACTCGCTTGCCAAGACTTGATTGTTTCCCTAATTCGATCTAGCGCGATCTGTCTCATGGTTTGAACTTAGTCTCAGTTCCATCCACTTACCCGGCGTCCTCACCACGCCTCACCGAGCACGTAGTCGGTTTCGGTCTGACACAAATCTCCTTTGAGCAACCCGAGCAAAGTAAATGATGACAAAGAAAAAGAGGGAGGGTTTAATCTCGTCATCCAGGCTGTCCGTGGAAAAGCGAAACGCAAACCCGGAGATTGAGCCAAGGCAGTCAATCTACTTGGCTTTGCAAGGAAACGATGAGACTTCATTCCATCAATATCACGATTGATGCCGCTGGAGTGAGTATAAGAACATAATTATTTCCATTGTAGATTTCACTTCTCTGCCGAATCAAATTGATAACAGATATTCTATCAGGATGCGGTTTCACACCATTTACAGCATTGGCATTGTGCTGCAGGCGGCCCACGCAATTGACATGAGAGACTACGCGCCGTCATGTGGCGTAGAGCCAGAATTCCAGCTTTGGTACAAAGAGTAAGCCAGACCAAGTGCTTCTTCGATCCATACGTGCTGATGAGTCGTTAATTCCACTTTAGACTTCTCGGCGCTTTTGAGGACCCTTTCGCAACTGATCGCGCCACCGACTTCTTCGCGCCCGGCGGTGCTTTGATCATCCTAGGAACAAGGAACATTGGCAACAGAGAGATTCTGAGGGCCAGAGGAGCGATGTTGCCCACGGATGGCTCAGTGCAATGGAACGTAGGTTGCTCGGGATTTTCATCTTACAGACAGTGGAATGGAAAGTCGGCTGATATTCTACACATAGCACTTCCCAAATCGAACCTTCGTATCTTCGGAAACGCCAGCGGATAAGACATTTGAGGTTGCCGGGGTTCTGGAGATAAGCCGCGCGATCGACTCAAGCTGCGCAACTACTTAGTAAGTCCTGAGTACTCTCTCCGGTCGCATTCAATTATTTATACAGACTACTGACAAACTCTACATATGTGTAGCTTTCAAACACACTTCACCGTTGCGAAGAACCCGGACACCGGGAAGGCAAATCTCACTCCGCAGGGTGGCAGTCTTATCATCTACGACGGATATTCTATCAACGCTACAAGCGACCCCTGTATTAAAGGGACCAGCAGTCATTGAGCGCGGTTGTTATTCAAGGGATATTGGATTCTGCCTTTAGAGACGAAAGATATCTGCTTATTAGCTTGCTTCGTTTGCCGCTCATTGAGACTGTGCTGTGGGTATACTTAGGTCTTGGAAGTAAAGTTAAAGGATCTGTTACTACTCTGTGTCTTGCACAATCATTCTAAGAAGTAACAAACCTGAACGTCATAGGTTTAGTCCCCTTTAGTATTTAGTATGGGTACTTAGGCAATTAAGGTAGTTCGTACTGAGTTCTTTCATAGTCCTAGCTGAGGCCAGAATTTTTCCCTACTCATAGTTGCTATGCTGACTTGACCACCAAATATCGGCGAAGCCGGGTGAAAAAACCATGCATCCCTTCTCCAAGGAGTTTGGGATCTGTGTGAGGTCGCCGACAAAATGCTGAAGGATATCGGCAGGCCTAACCCCGGCTACCTTACTTACATCTATCTTCGATGCTGAAACTTTCGAAACCCTACCGTCTACGTGCAAATTGCTAGTTTCGAGGTAGTTAGAATGAATGAATAGCATGAATTGAGCTTTACGTTTGTATAGTATACAGAGAGATTGAAAGGTGTCACCAAGCTGTTGTAGGCAGATATCTGGAGACAGAAGAATTGGAGAAATGAAAACACCGCAAATAATTCTGGGGCATAAGAGGTCTGGGAAAAATAATTCTGGCTAGTGGAGCTAGTCCCGGGCTTTTGTAAAACTGCGAAGAAGCCTGCGACAACAGCGTATCCCACCGGGAGGTGACTGCGATGGAGCTCCGCTACGACTCGTAATGCCAACCTACAAACACTCTTGCGTCTCAAAAGAGCCCATAGAAATGCCGTTCATAGTGGTCGGTATATGCATGGGTCGTCCGCGGGGTCGGGATGTAACGCAAGTCCGTCGAGACCATGCAACTGTATTGTCACGGCATAGACTTGATCATTTGTGAGGTATAAAGCTCAAGGTTTGAGACCTTGCCCTAATCAAACATCTCCGTGTCATTGTACCCCCATCTTGAAATAAGTATCCATCGACAAAATGCCTGAGTGTGGTTCAATTGTGGACGGGGTCGTGCGATACCCTCCTTCTGGGATCAATGTTATCATTGTTGGCGCAGGCCTGGGAGGCTTGCAGGCAGCCGTTGAGTGTTGGAGGAAGGGTCATGAGGTTCGAATTCTTGAGAAGGGGGAGGCGATTTCCGAGGCCGGTACGTGATTACCTTGAGGCTTCCTTTCCGCTGGAATTGAACTAATAATATGCCGCCCAGGTGATGTTATCAGACTCGGGCCTAACAGCTATGCCACCTTGAAGGAGTATCCTAAGATGCTCCAGGAATGGGATCAGTTCGCCTTTGACCCCGAGGCATGCTTCTGTCACCGTGACGGACGATTCGCTGTGCCGAAGGCTGAAGTCGAGCATCACCTTCCGGGAGTTGCCACACATGTGATATGGCCCATCCGAGCAAAGCCGATTGTCAGCCGACGAGATCTTGCTATGATGCTTCTTAGTCAATGCAAGCGATTGGAGATTCCTGTGACATATGGTGTAGATATCACCCGTTACTCGGAAGATGGAGAGGGTAGTGCCACCGCCCACGCCGAAGATGGCCGCAGCTTCACCGGGGATGTTGTGATAGCGGCAGACGGCATCGGCTCCAAGAGCTGCAGTGTGACCTTGGGCAAGCCGGTTCGCGCAGTGAGTACAGGTTACTGTGCTGATCGTGTCATGTACTCGACCGACCACATCAAAGATGCTCCTGCTCTGCAAAAAGCGATCGCTGAACTCCAACGACCTCAGATGCGCATGTATACAGCGTGAGTCTTGTCTCAAGTCACTACTTAAATCAAGGGCTTGGCTGACAGAAGACCAGCCCTGATATGTATATTGTCTTTCTCTTGTCAAAGACTCACATCTTTCTCGGCATCACGCACAAGGTAGGTGTTGTTGCGCACCTCTCATTCTAATCTAACACGAGAGACACAGGACGATGGCACGGCTGTGGAATCCTGGTCATCGACCGTGACCCCTGCGCAGACGGCAGCCGTGATGCCCGACAAGGAGGGCTGGGATCCAGTTCTCATGGAGGCGATTCACAGCACCCCACCCAACACTGTTGTGCGGTGGAAGCTATGTTGCCGTAACACCCAACCAAAATGGCACTCCGAGGGTGGCCACATCATTCAGCTCGGTGATGCAGCCCATAGCTTCATCCCATCATCTGGAAACGGGGCATCTATGGCTCTTGAGGACGCCATGTCGCTTCCCGAGTGCCTAAGACTGGGAGGCAAAGATCACATACCTCTTGCCGTTCGAGCTCACCAGCTTCTCAGGTATGTCGGCAGGCGTTTACATTATGCACGGCCTCCTTTTTAATTACTTTGTCCTAGATATGAGCGTACTTCGCTTCTGCAACACAATGGTTTCGTCAACAGGCGTCAGGTCCACCGCGACATGAACGAGATTCTAAAGGATGAAAGGCAGCCCATGCTCCTCGGAAAATGGGTCTGGACTCACCATGCCGAAAAGTATGCCACGGAGAATTTTGGAGAGGCGTGTACGGCAATCAACTTTGGTAAACCATTCAAGAACACCAATTTGCCTGTAGGCCATGAGATCCAACCTTGGAGTATCGAAGAAGAGGAAGAAAAGGAGAAGTCTGGTATTTTCAATGAGGATCTGAAGAATACTGGTGACTGGGGATTGGCGTGAAGCACGAGTGAGGTTCATGGCCAGTGCAGATACTTGGTCCTTCAGCGCTTCAATCGAATGGATTTGGCGAGGGTTTGAAGGATTACGGAGATAAAAAAAAGAAGCCATTCCTGGCGGAAAATTTGCCCTCGGGTTTACTCCGTTCTCCTAGGCCTACTTTGGTACTCATTCATTCAATCAATCCGACATTATGCTACAAATTCAACCCATTATTGACAGGTAAGAGAGCCTTCAAAAGGCCGCGTGAGATTCGTTGCGCCCTATTTGTGACCACCTCCCTCCAGGCTAAAACTAAAGGCACCAGATCTCTTGCCTTCGTCCCCTTCGCCCCTCTTTCCATCTGCGAACGACGCTAGCTGACTTACGGACCGTCCAGTTTCGGCGAGTATTACCCGACACATCGTTGCAGCATCAAGATCTACGGACCGAAACGACAATACATATCCCACGTCGGACTCTGCGCTAACGAACCAAGATCGCACCTAGTGATACGGTAGTCACTAATGGAAATACCCGGAAGGTTCCGCAGGCTGAGAATTGGACACTTGACGTCCGCGCAATCTAATACTTCACGACTATTCGACGCACTGAGACAAAGTGTCAGAATGATCAGTATCAAGGGGGCTAGAATCATGACACATATACGGACGGAATGAAATGCTGTCATGCAGCCACGGAATCTTCCTTTCCAATCAACCACCTTAAGCGGCCCTTCGTGTTCAGCTATGCTATGACGCTAGTTGTTTCCGAAAAGAAAACCTAGGAAGAAAGAAGCAAACATGTTCACCGTCCGCGAGAATAATTCCATCAAAATACCCTCGATGCTGCACCCTTAGTCTCTCAAAAGTAGGTGTACTCAACACTGTTCATGCCGAGTCGAAGTCAAATCAATCGAGGCGCGCCCGCTACTTCTTAAAAGCAGGAGTGCATCTGACATCCAACTGGTGTCTGCCCTACCTAGTTCTGAGGGATGGAACCATGTCTGGACTCGCAGGGCTGCCGCTACCCGGCATTCGGGCCACTCGGCAATGCCATCTGGCAAGGCATGTTATCCCTTGATGAGCAATGCACCTGGGCGTCGCACCTTTGGATTCCTTAACCACCCCTTCATACCGCCCTTCTTTACCGCCCTTCACAACACCCTCCTGCCAAGCGTTTATTGGCGGTCTACTTTTGTGCCTGCAACCACGGCGAAATGTGAAGCATGTACTGGGGGCTTGGACTAGCCCATAACGACTTCCAACCATGGGGCAGCAGTCAAGGGGCTTGGCATCTTGGCCTGAGCTATTCCACGGCTGGTAAATCGTACAAAGGTTTGATTGCGTGATGCTCTGCCGTGAGATAGATAAAGATGGAGACGTCGTGCACACGAGGCTACGTCGCTCACGTTTTGATGTCCAAACCCTGAGATTGAACCACTGATCCGCTGAATCCCTGGGAGCCCGGGAAAACAAACACCCATCTTTTCCCACCCTCCATGGCTGCACAAGTCTCCCAAACGGGGGACTGCTACCTCGAGACCACCACCAGCATCTTACTCGGTATCGTCATAGGCTTGACGATGCTCAATTTTGGAAAGGTGTTGAAACAGACTTCGCACATTTACTCAAAAACCAAGTCGTTTACCAATCTTTACAGCTGGATGTCAGTCAAGCCTTCCTGCGTATGAGCAGCATCACTAAATCTCCAGAAAATAACACTCAATAGGATCTGGATTTTACTTCTTGCTAGCCCCACTCAAGCGATTATCGACTGGCTCTTCATTGTTGGACACATTCTAAAAAGGTCGGTAATGTACGCCTAAACTCCTGTAACCTACTTTTTAATCGTTTGTTAACGAAAACAGCCCCGGGTTTAGCGCTGCGGATATCTTGCTCTGGGTGTTTCAAACGCAGCTTACACCTCAAATCATTGCGAACCGACTAGGACTTATCATGACAGATAAGAAGAAAGTTAGGATCATGAAATGCGTATTGCTTGTGATTATTGGCATAATGAACGCTACTGTCATCTGCATGATATTTCTGATACAAGCGACCTACCCTACGCTGGGTCCACATATCCAAAAATTCTACGCCCCTATCGACAAGGCCTTTGGTCTGCTAACTGATCTCTTACTCAACTTGGCGTTCACATGGAAGGTCCATCATGAACTGATCGCCAACGGTCTGACAAAATATCGATTGTTGTTCAATCTCAACATCGCTGCTATAATACTTTCGCTGTCTATGGATGTAGGTCGCAGCGTATTTCCTTCATTCAAGTCGTTTCCGAGAACTGCCTTAAGAGCATCGCTGATTCGTCGTACAAAGATCGCCCTGCTTGTCGTTGTGCTTGTTCTACCGAATTCCTTTATTTACACTTGTATCCACCCGATAGTCTATAGTGTCAAACTTGCCATTGAACTGATGATGGCAGATCTGATAGTCCAGGTCACGCAAGAGCAATATCAAATGCCGGAAATTTAGAGGCCGCTAATTTTGTGAGGTAGCGCGTCACATCGTCGATTTTATTGATAGCCCTCGTTCTACAGCTTTCCCTGGTTACCTCATCGCACTCACTGATCCTAACAATCTTGTTCGGCATTGCAGTCTTGGCGGATTCATTACGTTATGTGACTCACGATTCTGTGGAAAGTAGTTCTTGTCGACTGACGAGAAAAGATCATTAGTCTATATGATCTTGATGATTGATCTGATATCATTTCATTCGATTTCATTTTATCTGATCTGAAACATATTAAAGCCTACTGGGTTTCAGCCAAAGAGGGCACGACGTTGCCCGGGCGGATGAGTCAGCCAGCGACACTTGGAGCTGGGCAATCTGTATCATCACTGACTTCTCACCGCCACACAACCAGACAAGATAAGCCTCAAAGGATCTAAAGCTCCTCTTCCATTATGTTCAGACCCTTGCTAAGAAGCTACGTTGGCCTGATCCTGAGGTAACAGTGAATGAGCTAGGGCTGGCCTGCTGGGTACCTTAATTGTGTCAAACTTAAGTCGAGCATTCATCAAAGTCTAAATCACGATCAGGAGTCTTGACCTCCCCACCATCCTTTACTTGAGTTGAACTTCATTTCTCCAATCTTCTTCAAACTTCCGCAACTCATCTCTCTACCCTTGAAAGGGGCAGTCGACGGTAGCGTAAAACTAGTGTGATCGGTGAGCAGGGCCCCTAGAATAATCTCAAACGCAAGGGTCGGAAGCGTTGGGAAACAGGCATTACGAGCGGGTCTCGAGGTAACCTCCACAACATCGTCCGATCGGACCATCGACCGTCACTAACTAGCAGAGTCCTAGCCGGAGAATACGCGGTCCCCCATGATGCATACGTCCGGAGTCAGGGCGTCTTGAATTCGAAGACGCATCGCAACCAACTTGCATCTTGATGCCAGTAGAAAGTCTCACGTTCAGAAGGGCCTGATTGTGCCGCGAGAACGTATCGTGGCACGCGGAATGCAGTCTGTTCATCTCTTGTCCTCCGTGTAGACTGAAAATGGACTTTGTCCGCAAGCGCGTACCGACCTTGGAAATACGTTGGTTTCCCTCAAAGGTGGACCGATCTGCCTCCAGCGCCTGCCCAAAGTAGAGACTCAGATCCAGTTCAATCTTTTCTTTCCTGGGACTATGCCAGTACTCTCAGCTCTGGAACTTCTCTACTAAATTATCATGCGTCTCTTCGCGACCGTCGCTCCGGCCATTCTTGATCTGGCGGGCGATCATATCATCGCTGGTGCCCCATCGAATCAGATTAGCCTGGGGTGCTATCGGAGCCCTCTGGTCCGATAACTATCACTGGAATAGAGATCCAGCTGCATTGATGCTATCAAATGCTTGACGTCCCTGCCGTCAGAGGGCAATTATCTGTAGCATGGTGCCAAGACCCGGTGGGATCACTTCCAGAGAATGCACATCTACCTATGCCCCAGAGCAGCTGCACTTCAATGTGAGTCAGCCCAATCCGCGTGGCAAATCAGCAGGTAGTTTCAGTATACTGATGTTGGTACAGGGTTCTTTCCTCCCGTAAGAGATAACTCCAAACTTACTTCGATCATTTTCTAAATATGTCAATCGCAGCTGGCATCGGTAGATGATGTTTCTCTTCGAATCTGAGCTGAGGAACAAATGCTCTTACCAAGGAACACTACCCTACTGGGACTTGAGTCTTGAAAATACTGCGGAAAGCTTCGTCAAGTCGCCAATCTTCGACAACATATACGGTTTCGGGGGTAACGGGCCGTATATCGAGGATATCAGTGATGACGAGGAGTTCCCAGTCAAGACCCCCGCGGAAATTCCGGGAAGGAGCGGAGGAGGATGCGTCCAGGAGGGTCCATTTGCAAATCCCACGGTTCCCATAGGTCTTGGTGCGTTGTGAATTTCCGCAAACCACAAGGCTTCTGCCCCTGCCCGGCATCTGCTGACTTCACATCCTGGCAATAGGGTCCTCCGTTGAATCGTACCCCCATTGCCTGCGTCAAGATTTCAGTCCCACCCTCGTTGCCAGTGCCCTGAGAGACGAAATCATTGACCGTGCGCTCTCTGCGCCGACCTATGGCGAATTCAACTCTCATATTCAGGGCTACAGTTTCGAGTTTGACGGCCTGACTCTCCACGCGGGCATACATCTTGGCATTGGCGGTGCTGTTGGCAAGGTACGTCTGATCAGACGATGATCCTTTCCCATTTTACGGCCCTTTTTGGTTCTTTACTTTGTTAGTTGTGAAGTTGTGTGGTCTGAGGAAGCTAATGGCCAGGACCAGAATGCGGACATGTACTCCTCCCCCGGCGATCCACTCTTCTACTTCGTCCACGGTGCACTGGACAAGATCTGGAACGACTGGCAGCGACGAGGTAAGCATCCTTTTCTGCTCACGAACTTGACTTTCGTTTCAGTGCCACTTGTGAACAGACCAAGGCACTTGGACAAGCGGCTAGGCGCCCCGTTTTCCCCAGCATAAGAAAACGTTAAAAGGAGTCGTAGGCTCGATCTTGCTAACGATGGTCATAGACTGGCCCGCGCGCAAAACCGCTATCGGTGGCCCGGACACCATGTTCGCGTACCCATTCAACTTCTTCGGTGACGTACCGTACGAGAACAACACGTTGCAGTACCTTCTCAAGTACCCTAATTTTGGACAGGTATCCCCATTAGCGACGTGATGGATATCCACGGTGGTCCGTTTTGCTACGAGTATAACTTGTTTGAGCTATCAACTATACCATCTCAGTCTAGTGTGTTACAGCGGCTTCTGCACTCTAGTCGCAGCATCCGATTATACGAATCCGTCGTACAGCGACCAATAGCCGCCCAAGACTGATGAGCTACATCGGCCGCTGTCCTAGTGTGTCGAATCTTGGTTGAGCCGCCGCTGGTCTGGGAGGAGAATCCGTGCACAAGTTGAGGCGCGGGCTATTGCGGTTTAGGGTCTGGCAGACAAAAGACAAAAGACAGCCACGGTGGTCGATGTGCTCGGATAAAGTTTCACTACTGAATCAACATCGGAGGCATCCCCATTTGTCCTAGCTTGTGATTGCAAGTCGCTTAAGACGGCAATATTGCGGCGATGTTGTCTGGAGAGTTCCCGAGAGTCAATTGAATCCCATACCACTGCTAGATTATGTGTGGGTGAGGGGATGGGGCACTCATTATCACACTCCAATGTAAGCTTAAGTTGCATTACGCACTTTATAGATAACATGTGCTTAGAGAATGCTCAATCCGATGTAGATACATCGCCAAGTAATTCATGAAGGTGAAATGGAACTTTTATTAATCATGGTCTCAATCGACTGCGTGATGGGGACGGGACGAGACGATCATGTGACTCCTGGTCGTCCGCTATCCTCTTGAACCCTTCGGAAAATAGCGACATTTCGCTCGGCTTTGTGTGAAGTCCCCTTGATTCGACCTCAACTTTTGTTGACCTCAACGGGGACTCATTGATACACCATCTCTCATTTACCTCGACTCCTCCATACGTCTTGCTCGGTTTTTGTGGTGATGGAAAGTCGCATAGCTCAGCGGTGGCCTCTTCGTCACGGAGACTGCTGAGACGGCGTATCTCCGATGTAATCTCGATCTCTTTTGTGATAAAGATGTGGCCGATGCTACTCTGTAGGGTGGGCCAGAAGACGGGTAACGAGGCGCAAATCGTCGCCAAGTTGATCTCAACCGCAGCGAGAACGATGGGCACGCAGCCGTACCAGCTGGGATCGAGGGTCGGATAAGTGCCCGCTCTCGAGTGTGAAATGCCGATGAGACGGAAGATTCCAAGAACGTTCACGCTAGCGAAATTGAGTCAGACGGGAAGTGTTCGCTTTGAGATGGAAAGGAAGTTTAAGACATGGAACTTACAGAACACCCATGGTGAACAGACCAAGCAGGCCCAAGCGCGACTTCGTCCGAGTTCCAGCCTCCAGGAACAAGGGAATAGGTATCGCAAATACAATCAGGTCCAGTGCAACATTCATTCCGACGTGGCTTTCAAAGCTTTTCGCAAAGATAATGGGGTCGCGGGAGCCAAATGCCCATCGAGTATCCGTAGTCGATGAAAGGTCCCAAAAGGCCGACACGGGAAGGCAGGGGATCCAGGCAATGAAGGAGTAAGCTACACCCCATAGTGCGGTGATGTAAATGACGATAATGGTAACGATTCGAGACTTCGTGTTGCGTTCAAACATTCGTAGATATTGAAACAGTAAGGCCAATTTGATGAGGGCTGTTGCCATTGGGTATGCGCCGTTGCAGACATAAAAGGCTTTGATGAAATTTTGCATGCCGTTAACTCCAAGTAATAGAAAGTGCTTGCCCAGCCCATAATCCGTGGCTGCATTGAAGAGTTAGTGGACCTTTCTTTCGTAGGTAGGCGCCATAGAATGAAGACACTTACCCACACACGTTGCTATAGATAAAAGCAGGCTTGTGAGCTGCGGGCAAAATGTTAGACATTGAAAATAATGCGAAACGGTTGCCTGATAGCTACATACCAAAGATAACACAACGAAGAAGTCATCCCATCCCGGACACCGAGCAATAAATAACCGGACATAGAGTCGAAAGGCACCGCATATCCAGGCGACAAGCTACGGTAAATGGTCAGAAGCTAGAATTGTCTGGAAGTGGTTCATGGGCATCAAGTACCAGAAAGGAAACGACCATAGCCAGGACCGCAGGTCGTTGGTTGAGAACCGGCACAGGGTCTTTGAGGTTGTCGGCTTTGCCGAGTAATTCAAGTATGGAGCCGCCCATTTTCTACAAGGGTTCTCGAGATCGGGGCCGTTGCCGTTTGCATACTCGGGGGTGAGACTTCGAATTCCGTAGGTCGAAGTCCAGCTCGCGGGTAGATTTCGAATCGCAGTTCTCAGCCGTTGGCCAGCAAGAGTCGGCGGATGGTCAAATAAGACAACTCATTCGGGATTCAATGGAGACAACCTAGAGGGGTTGGAAAGGTTGGACAAGAGCG